CCAAGGCTCCCAAGAGCGAACGGTGACGTAAGCCAGCTGATAAGACCAAGGCTCCAGAAAGAGAGCGGTGACGTAACAAGTTCCTGACACCAAGGCCCAGTCAAGGCTCAGGAACGGGCGGCAACGCACTAATCTCTGAACACCAAGGCTCCCAAGTGCGAGGGGTGACGTAACAAGCTCTCAACGCCAAGGCTTCCAGTACGAACGGTGCTGTGAGTAATTTCGGTTTCCTTTTCTGAAGCGCTCTTTCCGTTTTTGTGCCGGGGCAGGTAACGGAAAGAGCGAGGTATGAGCGATGACGTTGTGTGTTGGGCGAAGCCGCTTAAGGGGGGGGTCCAGGGGGGGCGTACGCCGAGTGGATGGGTTTCCATGTCCGTTTTGGGTTTTTTTCCCAACCAACTGTGTTGTTGGGTTCTCGTTTTGAAGAAACGGTCCCCGCGTTCCTCCTCCTCTCCTCCTCTTCCTCTTCCTCCTCCTCCTCCTCCTCCTCTTCCTCCTCCTCCTCCTCCTCCTCCTCCTCCTCCTCCTCCTCCTCCCTGCGTTTCACCCACCCAGTACATTGTTTCGTGGCCCCATAGGGAGCTCCACCGAAGGCCCCAGTGCTACCGTCCACATGCGTCCCCCGCACCCATTTCGGCACACCCCTCACACGTTTCGTGGCCCAATAGGGAGCTCCACCGAAGGCCCCAGTGCCACCGTCCGCATGCGTCCCCCCACACTCATTTCGGCAAACCCCTCACGCGTTTCGTGGCCCAATAGGGAGCTCCACCGAAGGCCCCAGTGCCACCGTCCACATGCGTCCCCCACACCCATTTCGGCACACCCCTTACAAGTTTCGTGGCCCAATAGGGAGCTCCACCGAAGGTCACAGTGCTACCGTCCACATGCGCCCCCCCTTTCAGTACAGCGCTTCGTGGCCACATAGGGAGCTCCACCGAAGCCCCCAGTGGGACCGTCCGAGTGCGTCCTGAAACACCCAATTTGGCATTTTTACACATCCATTACAGCGTCTCGTGGCTCCACAGGGAGCTCCACCGAAGGCCCCAGTGCCACCGTCCGCATGCGTCCCGCACACCCTATGTGGCATTTTCACCCACCCAGTGCAGCGTTTCGTGGCCCAATAGGGAGCTCCACCGAAGGCCCCAGTGGGACCGTCCGCAAGCGTCCCGAAACACCCATTGTGGCAGTTTCACCCACCCAGTCCAGAATTTTGTGGCCCCGTAGGGAACTCCACCGAAGGCCCCAATGCCACCGTCCGCATGCGTCCCGAAAACCCAACGTGGCATTTTTACCCACTCAATACAGCGTTTCGTGGCCCCTAAGTGAGCTCCACCGAAGCCCCCAGTGGGACCGTCCGCGTGCGTCCCGGAAGCCGAATTTGGCATTTTCACCCACCCAGTACAGCGTTTCGTGGCCCCATAGGGATTGCCACCGAAGCCTCCAGTGGGACCGTCCGCATGCGTCCTGGAAGCCCAATTTGGCATTTTCACTTGCCCAGTACAGCGTTTCGTGGCCCCTGAGTGAGCTCCACCGAAGCCCCCAGTGGGACCGTCCGCATGCGTCCCGGAAACCTTACTTGACACACCACTCACCCAGAACAGCGTTCCCTCCCACCCAGTGCAGCGCTTCGTGGCCCCATAAGGAGTTTCACCGAAGAAGATTTTCAATTGCGGTACCCAGAACTGCATATGGTTGGGTCCTTCGCCCGGATAATTGCATGTTTTTCGGGTTCTTCCCCAAGACGGCCCAAGAGCGCTCCAAGAGAGCCCAAGACCGCCCAAAACGGGCCAAGAGGCCACCAAGAGCCCCCCAAGACGCGCCCAAGGGGCGGCCCAAGAGGGCCCCAAGAGGGTAAACTTCTAGATTTTCCGGAGGAAAGCGTATATCTTAGCATATACGGATTTTCGGCTAACGCGGCGTTGACGATGGCCCAAGAGGCTCCCAAGACCGCCCCAAGACGGCCCAAGAGGCTCCCAAGAGGCCCCCAAAACGGCCCAAGAGGGCCCCAAGACGGTCCAAGAGGCGCCCAAGACGGCCCAAGACGGCCCAAGAGGCTCCCAAGAGACCCCCCAAACGGCCCAAGAGGGCGCCAAGACGGCCCAAGTGGCGCCCAAGACGGCCCAAGAGGGCCCCAAGACGGCCCCGAGAGGGGGACCACGAACCGAAAAGTCTAGCCTTTCGCCCCAAGACGCTCCCAGGAGGCCCCAAGAGCCCCCTGAGAAGCCCCAAGAGGCCCCCAAGAGGCCACCAGGAGGCCAAACTCATTGATTTTCTATGGGGAGAAGGTACATTTTTAGCATACACGGCTTTTCGTCTTTCACGGCGTTGAAGACGGTCCAAGAGGCCCCCAAGACCGCCCCCAGACGGCCCAAGAGGCTCCCAAGAGGCCCCCAAAACGGCCCAAGAGGGCTCCAAGACGGCCAAAGAGGCGCCCAAGACGGCCCAAGAGGGCCCCAAGACGGCCCCGAGAGGGGGACCACGAACCGAAAAGTCTAGCCTATCGCCCCAAGAAGCTTCCAGGAGGCCCCAAGAGCCCCCCAAGAAGCCCCAAGAGGCCCCCAAGAGGCCCCCAACAGGCCCCCCAAGGGGCTCGAAAAGGGCCGCAATAGACTCCCAAGAAGGCCCAGATACGCCAAATGAAGAGCGATCGGTGACGCCAAAAGCTCTCCACACCAAGGCTCCCAAGAGCGAACGGTGACGTAGACAAGCTGATAAGACCAAGGCTCCAGAAAGAGAGCGGTGACGTAACAAGTTCCTGACACCAAGGCCCAGCCAAGGCTCAGGAACGGGCGGCAACGCAACAATCTCTGAACACCAAGGCTCCCAAGAGCGCGGGGTGACGTAACAAGCTCTCAACGCAAAGGCTCCCAGTACGAACGGTCGTGTGAGTAATTTCGGTTTCTGTTTCTGAAGCGCTCTTTCCGTTTCTGTGCCAGGCCAGGTCTCAGGGAGGCCTCTTCGAAGCAGGTTTGAAGCCACTTGGGAAGTCTGGGCACCAGAGGTTTGGGCAGTTCGCCATCAGCGTGTACCGAGCTCTGTTCAGGGGCAGCGCTGGGGAGGGATAGGCTCAGGGTGGGATGCGTCGACCGCCAATCGCCCGCTGATCGCCGATAGGGGCCCGATACCCACCCCGCCCAGGAGCGCGCGGTGTCGCAGTCGGGGGCCCATCGCTGATCTATCGGCGATGGATCGCCGACCCCATGTCGAAGTCTCCCCTCCAGGATCCAAAGCCCCCCCGAACGTTGCCCCCTCGATGCTAGCTGGGTCGGCGACTCAGACCTCCGACGTCTTTCAAGAAACGAGGTGGAGGTTTTTATTGCGAAGGCCTTAACGGTCAGTCCCGCCGACCCTGAAAGACGACGACGGCGGTGGCGGCGGCGACGACGGCGACGACGAAAAATCTTCAAACGCTTACGGAACATCCGCAATTTTACCCTCTTGGTGTTACAGTGGAAGTGTCTTTGGCGAATCGAGGCGGAGGTTTCGGTCACACATCTTGGGCGCCCAGAGAGGCCCGTGTCGGGCCCATGGGGGCACCCATACATCCGTCCAGGATGAAAGGAGCCGGTCCCTGGGGCGGGGTTCGGGAGGTCTAGTGTTAAGTCGGGCATGTCCTTTTACAGGAGGAATTTTCAAACATAGTCAAAGAACAGTCTGGGGATGAGTTTTCTACCATGTTTGACTATTTTCTAGCATTTTTCATTATTTTCTATCCGTAAGGGGTTCGCCCCCTTGCCGCCGGCCCCCCCTCCTTAGAATGGGACTTGCCAGAGCTGTGTTGGGATGTCTGGACGCTGACGTGAAGCAATGTCGGGACTTCACGCAAGGGCCAATATTAGTTTACGATGGTTTATGGCTTCGGTGGCGCGAATATTCTGTAATTTACGATGGTTTTTACACGCGAGCATTTTATAATTTACGAGGGTATGTGGCGTATGTGGCCTCGGGGACGCAATTATTGTACAATATAAAAGGGTTTATGGCCTTGGGGCGCGAATATTGCGTAATTCACTAAGGTTTCTGGCTTCGGGGACCCGAGTATGGTGTAATTTGCGAAGGTTTCTGGCTTCAAGGACGCACGTATGGTGTAATTCACATCGCTTTACAGCCCTGGGGTTGCGAATATTCTTTCATATTCAAAGGTTTATGGTTTGGGGTGTGCGAGTATGATGTAATTTGCATGGCTTTATGGTCTCCGGGCCGCGAATATCGTGTAATTTCAAACGGTTTATGGCTTCGGGTACGCGAATATTGGGTCATTTACGAGGGAGTATGGTTTCGGGACGCGACTATTATATAATTTACAGGGGTTTATGGCCTCGGGGACGCGAATCTGGTGTAATGTACTAGGGATTGTGGCCTCGGGGACGCGAGTATATTTTTTTTTGTCTCCCACGCCTTCGCAGGAATTCAGACAACGCGATCTGGGCGTGGTAAAAAAAGCTTGTTTGGGGCTCCCCCCCCTCGCGCGTTCAGTAACAATTATCAGTAAGGAAGCAGAAGCAGGACTGTAACAGTGGAAACTGGAAACTGCAACTGGCACAGGGAGCTGCAGTCCTCACCCTCGCAGCCTCGTAGCCCCGCAAGGGGGATGGCGGATTTTCATCCAAAATCCGCCTGAAGGAGGACATGCCCGACCTCTGTCTAGTGGTCGCCTGTAGTTCTTGGAGGAGGCACGACGTCACGTGTCAGCGGTCGGACTTCCATCCCCTTTTTGCCGATCGATCCGAATCGATGTCGATGTCTGTTCGGGCTGGCCTGATCCGATTCCATGTGCAATATTCCGACGATCCGATGCGGCCCGATGGTTGCCATGGCGCTGTTGTGCATCTTGGTGCAGCCGATCCAATCCGATTTCGATTCCGTGCCTATGCAGACCGATCTGACTCAAATGTCGATGCGATCCGATTTGCGATCCGGGGCCTGACCTTCCCTGGGTCGTCCGTTGGGGCGCGAAGGTCATCGCGCTTCGCGCGCCGCGGTCTGGGCCAGAGCGGTTGCCCGCCCCCGCGAGGGCGGCGCGATGGCGCGAAGGCAGCCGCGCGTCGCGCATCGCGGGGCGCTGCGCGAAGTCCTACGATTGGCATCATTTCTCATGCACGCCAATCTTTGGCTTCCCTCAGCTTCTGAGGGCGCAGCCCCAAGATTGTCATCTTCATTTCGGCTTCTTCCGTAACCAATTTGGCTCAAGGCTCTTCCGTTGCAGCTTCCAAGCGGTTTGGCTCGGCCGGCAGTGATTTGCGTGCACGATCCCAGCCATCCGCCAGATTGGACTGCTTGCGTGCAGTTCTTCGCGATGGCGCAGGCGCGCCACACGGCCCGTCTTTTTAGCGGCGACCAGGGCGCGACCTTGCTCAAGGAGCCCCCCGCCCGCCCCGTGATGCGCCCGGCGCAGCGCTTCTCCCTCAGCGCCCTCAATGAGGGCGGCGTGCGATCCCGCCCCCCGATCACCGACGAGGAGCTCGCCGCCTTTCGGTCGCGGCCGCGGCCCGCGCCTGAGGCGGCGCCCATTGCGGCGGGCAGCAGCGCCGCCCCCGCCGACGCCGGAGAGCCCGACGGCGAAGCCGCGGAAGAGCCGATGCATTGGGCGGGCGCGGCGGTGCTGGCGCTCCGCGCGCGGCGGAACCGCGGAGACACCGCCACCGCGGAGGCCTCGGGGCCTCTTGTGCCGGCGAAGCCGTCGTCGGCGCCGCGCGCCGCGTTCAGGTCCGGGGCCCAGTCGTCCCACCTTGCCTCCGGTGGTTCGCCGGCGTAGGGCGCGGCGGGTGGCTTCCGCCTGGCGCCGCGCAGAACGGGGGGGGGGCTGAGCGAGGTCGTCATCGTGGGAGCCCATGGAGGGCCCCAAGCAAGCAACATGCCCCAAGAGGGTCCCCGCGCTGCACCCGACGCCGCCCGCTGTGGGAGGCGCCGCCGCGTCGGACTCTGACTTTTCCTCTCTGGGGGCCAGCCGTCGGGCTCTGACTTTTCCGCTCTGGGGGCAAGCGCTGGCTAGTCTCAATGCAGGTGGCCCTTTCGCTTGCCATGGGCGGAGCTCCAGTGCAATTGCGTGCGCCACGCCCGCTGTAGGGGGAGGTGGAGGGGAGGAGTTGCGGAGAGAGGTTGTGCAGGAGGAGAAGGGCGGGCGTGGAGGGCATCATCTATGAGCGGGGAGACCCCAGGCCGGTCCCGCGATGTACCCGACTTTGCGAGGTGCCGTCTCGCCTGTCTCGGATTTGTTTTGTGCAGCAGGAGAACGGTGGGCGTCGCGAACGACCTAGCCTTTTTTTGCACGTGCTCGCTGGCAGTGATCTGATACTGCGCGCGCAGAAGTCGTGCCCCCCAGGGGTGCTTTGAGGTTGCATCACAGGTGCTTCTTTATATCAGCAGCGCACTTCCGGCGTCCCATTTCGGCGCACGTGGTGTCGGGAATCGGCCAGCGAGCCAGGCCGTGCTCCAGCTTGGCGGGCCCTTCTTGCTGACGCCCTTTCCGCATGAGCCACCGCGTGCTGCTGACTAATACCCGGCGGGCGGGCTCGACTCCAGCTCCGAGGGCGCAGCCAGAGCCCCGCCCGAGGCCCGCGCGCGATCTCGCCAGAGCTTTGCGCGAAGCACCGCCCTCGAGCTTGCAGCACCTGGCGCCGCAGAGGGGGCAAGAGTTTATGATGATGATGATGATGCGTTTCAAGATTTCCAGGGACTTCTGGATCACCCATCTTTCCTGCTGGTCCGCTCTGGTTGCGCCGCTACGGAAATCTTGGAACGCGTCCTGAGCCCATCCTCTCATGGAAATTATTCTCGCCTTTTCGTTTTTGCAGCGCTTCCCCCCCCTGGGTATGTCGTGAGCCAGGAGGCCTCGGGCCTCCCACGTCGCGACTGCCCGGTTCCGTGGGTTCAGCTCCTCGCGCGGGATCGTCGTCGGACGTCCCCGGGGTCCCGGGGCGCGTGGCGCGCGCCGCTGGCGGGCGATCCTGGGCTGAGGGGCCCTGTCCCGACGGGCCCTCTCTCGAGCTTGAGAAGGCCGCCGCGGGGCGTGCCCTCTCGCGCTCGAGAGGCTCGCCCCTGGGCGGGTCCATCCACGGTCCCGGCGTTGGCCGCCGGGGCAGCGCGCGGGCCGTGCACCAGTCAGTCAGGAGGGGAAAAACACACACAGACACAATTAATCGTCGATTCCCAGGAAAATATGCGAAAATATGGGAAGTGGTGGGGAAGACAAAAACCCAGAAAATATGGTGGAATATCGGGGAATCCTGTTATTTGTGTGTATTTATGTGTGTGTCCCAGGGCCCCTTCAGTCAGACTCGGCAGCGGAGTGGTCTGTCTCCTCGATGTTTTGGTCGCGCAGTTTGCAGCTGCGGCCGCGCGATAGCGATTGCTCACCCTGCGGCACGAACGCGCGCGGCGCATAGGCGCACCAGTGTTGCATGCGATCCGCGCGCGCCGTCGCTTGAGAAGGCCTTTTGAGTCGGCAGCGAGCACCTGCGGGTAATTTCACTCCCCGACAGTGCATGCTTGATTTTGCTCGTTATGACGACCGAGACACCCGAAAGGAAGTCTTCATATTGTATTCTCAATCTCAGGGTCAGGGATATGTTCGAGGCTGGCTATCAGGGGACCAGCTGGCTTGCTCCTCATCAGGGGAGGCGGGGAGGCGTCTTAGAAGGAGGCTGCTCCTCAGGAGGCGCGGGCCTGATCTATGGATACCAGGCCGTCTTCGCATGCGGTCTTCGCATGCGTTTCCCCCGCCCTGCACGGCGTTTCGTTGCCCGCGCGTTTAGTGGGCCCACGTTGAGCTCCACCGAAAGCCCCAGTGGCGTTGTTCGCAAGCGTCTCCCCCACCCAGTTCAGCGCTTCGTGACCACAGAGATCTCCACTGAGCCCCAGTGGCGGCGTTCGCGTGCGTCTCCCCCATCCAGTACGACGTTTCCTGACCCGATAGGGAGCTCCACCGAAGGCCCCAGTGGCGGGGTTCGCATGCGTCTCCCACGCTCATTTTTGCGTTTCGTTGCCCCATGGGGAGCTCCACGGAATGCCATGTTGGCGGCCCCGCCACATTGCGCCGCACACCCTCGCAAGTTTCGCAGCCCCACGGTGGCTTCTGCCTGAAGCACCAGTGGCAGCGCCCACATGGCGGTCCCGCCCAATATCGGCACACCGTTCGCATGCTTCATGGCGCCATGAAGATATCCTTCGCCGAACTAATTTCAAATATGTCTGCGCCTGCCGTTCGACATGTCCTGCCTGCGTGGATGGAAGGTAGAACAGAGCGTCTGCAATGCCCGCCCGATGTGCGTTCAACCACCACGAGACGACCGACGTGAAGAAAACAGCTACGCCAACTCAGCTCGGCTCGCATTTACTTCGGTCATAGCGATACCGCCTTGAATGAAAGGCGGTACGTGCCATGGTCCAGAGCACCTGCATTGGCCCCCGTCGCGAGGAACGGCACAAACTTACATTTCGCGGCGGTAGAGGGGGTGGCGATCCAGCGCCGCAAGCAAACCCAGAAGTAGGCATGCAAGAGCACGACCGTTGGCAATACGTGGATGATGCAAGGCCGCACCGCAGCCCTTACTGCTCCTTGACCCCCCCCCAGGCTGGTTTGGCCGCGCCATGAAGCTCGCAGCATATATGCTTGGACTAAGGGGTCTGGGGTGGGTTTCCCCCCCCCCTTCTCGAGTAGATTCAGCTGCAGAAGGAAGAGGGGGAAACGTAGCATGATGAGTCGAGGGGGAACGAGACTGACGATACTTATTGGGATGGTGATGTATGCAATGGTTGCGTGGAGGAAGATGTGCAACCTGATTATACGAGGCTCGTGGGTATGGGTATCATTGTGATGTAGACTTTTGTTGTCGTGGTGGTATGATGACGATCATAGGCTGTGGTGGGCGATTGCGACGATGTGGATTATGTGGATGACCAAGATCAGGTTGATGATTACGATGCTGATGATTGTGATGATGATCATTGTGATGATGCTGATGATGCTGATGATAATTATGGTGATGGTGGGGGTGATGATGACGGTGATGATGATGCTGATGTTGCTGCTGATGATGATGAGGATGAGGACGATGCCGAGGATGATGATGCTTATACTGAAGATTATGGCGACTATGACGATGCGAGTGATGATGATGCTGATGATGATGAGGGTGATGCTGATGATGATGATGATGATGATGATGATGGTGATGGTGATGATGATGATGATGATGATGATGCTGATGATGATGATGATGATGATGATGATGATGATGATGATGATGATGTGGATGATGATGCTGATGTTGATGATGATGCTGATGATGGTGATGTTGGTCATGATGACAATGACGACGATGTCGATGATGATGAGGAGGAGGCGGGGGATAACTATGAGGATGACGCTGCTGATGATGCTGTTGCTGATGCTGCTGATAATCACAAAGCTGTTGGCGATGCTGCTTGAGATGATGATGATGATGCTGATGATGATGCTGATGGCGATGATGCTGATGCTGATGCTGATGCTGATGCTGATGATGCTGATGCTGATGCTGATGATGGTGCTGATGATGATGCTGATGATGGCGATGATGAATTTGCTGATGATGGTACTGTTGAGGTTGCTACTGATGATCTTGACGACCGTGATGATGACGATTACGATGCTGATGGCGATGCTGACGATGATGCTGCTGCTGATGATAACGATTCTGATGCTGATGAAGATGCTGCTGCTGCTGCGAATGACGAGGTGTCGATGATGATGAGGATGGCGATGACAACGATGATGCTGCTGATGCTGATGACGATGTGGATTATTATGATGATGATGCTGATACCGATGATGCTGCTGATGATGATGATGCTGATGCTCACGCTGTTGGTGATGCTGATGATGCTGCTGCTGGTGATGATGTTGACGATGACGACGACGAGAATGACGACGATGATGAGCATGCTGATGCTGATGATGATGCCGATGATGGTGCTGATGATGCTGCTGATGATGATGCTGATGCTGATGCTGATGGTGATTATGATGATGATGCTGATGCTGATGATGATAATGGTGATGATGCTGCTGCTGCTGATGATGATGATTATGATGCTCATGATGATGATGATGATGATGATGACGATGATGATGATGATGATGATGATGATGATGATGATGATGATGATGATGATGCTGATGATGATGATGATCATGATGATGATGATGATACCGATGATGATGCTGATGATGATGATGCTGATGCTCACGCTGTTGGTGATGCTGATGATGCTGCTGCTGGTGATGATGTTGACGATGACGACGACGAGAATGACGACGATGATGAGCATGCTGATGCTGATGATGATGCCGATGATGGTGCTGATGATGCTGCTGATGATGATGCTGATGCTGATGCTGATGGTGATTATGATGATGATGCTGATGCTGATGATGATAATGGTGATGATGCTGCTGCTGCTGATGATGATGATGATGATGATGATGATGATGATGATGATGATGATGATGCTGATGATGATGATGATGATGATGATGATGATGATGATGATGATGATGATGATGATGATGATGATGATGATGATGATGATGATGATGATGATGATGATGATGATGCTGATGATGATGATGCTGATGCTGCTGATGCTGATGATGATGATGATGATGATGATGATGCTCATGATGATGATGCTGATGATGATGTTGATGATGAGGATGATGATGAGGATGATGATGATGATGATGATGATGATGATGATGAGGAGGAGGAGGAGGAGGAGGAGGAGGAGGAGGATGAGGGTGCTGATGCTGCTGCTGCGGAGGAGGAGGAGGAGGAGGAAGAGGGAGAGGAAGAAGTTGTGGATGATGACAAGGATGACTGGCACGGTGATAGTGACGAGAAACATGTGGAGCGTTGGGAGAGCCAGGAGGGAGAGGACGAGGGAGAGACGCAACGAGGGGGATGCCGAGCCTGGCTGTTCTTGCGCTTGCGGGATTTGCAGAGTTTCCGAGCCAACCACCAGGTCAGCCGCCGGGCAAGAAGCGCCGCACTGGCGCCGAGGTGCGGCGGATCGAACGCGTGGGCGTGCAGTCCGAATTGGGGAGGGCGCCGTGGAGCCCAGGAGACCTTCAAGGAGACCTTGACGGAGGAGGAGGAGGAGGAGGAGGAGGAGGAGGAGGAGGAGGAGGAGGAGGAGAAGGAGGAGGAGGAGAATGAGGCGGGGAGGAGGAGGAGGAGGAGGAGGAGGAGGAGGAGAAGGATGAGGAGGAGGGGGAGGAGGTGGAGGAGGAGGAGGAGGAGGAGGAGGAGGAGGAGGAGGAGGAGGCAGGAGTAGGAGGAAAGCAGGGATGGGCACCTGGAGGAGAGCCCCCAGCCCTGCCCCTGAGCGCCTCCCCGCGGGCCCCAGCGTCCTCCCGCCGCTGCTGCAGCCACGCCCTTGGCCCGCAGGTTTCGTCCATGGTGGTCACCCTCGAGGTGGCGCCCGAGGCGGCCCAGGCCGCCCTGCCCGTGGCATTCGAGCGGAAGCGCTACCACGCCGCATCGGCGCACGGTGGTGGCCAGCGAGAGGCTACGGGCGCCGGCGAGCAGCAGGACGGCGGCCGCAGGACGTAGGGGCCCCACGCCGCGCGTGTGGAGGCGGCGAGGCTGGAAAGGGCGTGCGCCTCGCCCTCCCTCCTCTTTCTCCTCCCTTCCTTCCCTTTCCTTCCCCTCCTCCTCCTCCTCCTCCTCTTCTCCTCCTCCTCCTCCTCCTCCTCCTCCTCCTGTTCCCCTCCTCCTTCTCCTCCTTCGCTCCCCCCTCCACCCCCTCCTCCTCCTCCTCCTCCTCCTCCTCCTCCTCCTCCTCTCTCATCTTCTTCTCCTTCTTGTTCTTCCTCTTCCTCCTCCTCCTCGTCCCTTCCGTAGCCATCTTCGCTCAAGATGCTCTTGTCCTTTGAACAGAGAGTGGCTACTTCTAGTCGGAGGACAGTTTCCGTACTAGGCAACCCCAGTCGAGCTGCGCGCAGCTGGGGCCAAGAGTGCTCCAGGAGGAACAACCTTCACGGTACAATCTCTTGGGTGCGTCGCGAGCTGCTCAAAACTGGATGGCAGACAGCAGGCGGGCGCATGCGGGACACGCGGCAGTGGTTCTGCAAGTTCTGCATCAACACGGCTGGGGGGCCCTGGTGGAACTCGTGTGGCGCGCGACTGTGCAGGGGCAGCTGTGGTTGCGCGAAGAAGGGAAACTGCTTCCTCCGCCATCGTGAGCCTCCTGCGTCGCGTGTTGGCCAAGGCGTCCGCCCACCTGCACGTTGTTTGGTGGCTGCGCCTGCAAGCCTGCCCAGGCCTCCGCTTCAGCCGCGCCAGACGTCCGTGTTCAACGAGGCGGCGCACACGCACTTCCTCACGGTTGACGAGACCATGTTCGCCGAGCTCGCCAAGGGCTTTCGACTGCCGACAAGCACGATTTGCTCCAGCGGAGGTTTATGGCCTCTAAGTAAGGGCCTCGGGTGTGTCAGCAAGGCAAGGTGGGCAAGTCGGCCCGGCTGGCCGTTGATTGCGCTGGGCGCAAGTGGCAGCGCGCCAAGTACGACGTCGAGCGGAAGCAGACCGCCGCCACCACGGCTCTCACCGCGTCGTACGAGGCCAAGCTGTTGCTCGACAAGTGCCAGGTGCAGATGGACGAGCTGGTCGAAAAGGCCAAGCTGGCAGCCGACGCCGCAGCTGCGGATGCCGCCAACTTCGCAGCTGAGGTGCTCGATGCCGCGGAAGGTGCGCGGCGGCTCAGGGCGAGCCGCCCAGCTCGAGCAAGCCGCCAAGTTCAAGGCGGTGGCCCAAGAGCTCGAGGCCGCCACGCCCGCCATCCCCTCCGAGAGCTCGAGGCCGCCATGCCCGACATCCCCTCCAGAAACTGCAGGGCTTGCTGGCGGGGCTGTCCACGCCGCCGCCTGCGCCGGCTTCTCCTGCCGCCGCCGCGGCCTCCGAGGCGGCCCAGCCACCTGGCTCTGGCGAGGCCGCCGACGACGATGATGACGTCGAGCTGCCCGCTGACCCCGTCGGCTCCGCCATGGCCGGCGAGCAGCGGGCGGCGGCCGTCCAGGCGTCCGGCAGCGGCGACGCCGAGAAGCGGAAGTTCGTCGAGCTGTACCAGGCACGCGTGGCGTCCGTGTCCAGCGCCGAGAAGGGGCGGCGTGGGTGGCCTAGGAGTGCGGGGAGTCGCCGCGCTCAACGTGATTTTTTTTTTTTTTTTTTTTTTTTTTTTTTTTTTTTTTTTTTTTTTTTTTTTTTTTTTTCCCAGCGTCGACCGCTGCGTAGCGGTGGGCGGCCCCCTGGCCAAGTGCGACTCGCTGCTGCCCCAGGAGACTCGCCTCGTTCGAGGCCGAGGCCAGCGTGCGCCAGCGTGGACGTCGCGCGCGCGGCGCCTGCTGTTCCGTCGGCCGCGCGCGGTTTGCTCACTGGCGGCCTCTTTCTTTCGCGCGAGCTGCTTGCGGGCTTGAAGCCGCTCGCTCACTGGGCGACGCGGTGGGCGGCAAGCCCCGAGCGGCATGCCAGGGGCGCGCCCGGGATCCTCACTCTGGAGTAGCTCGTGGGGGAGCTCTTTTTTTTCAAATGTGTATCTTGAATCTGGTGTCGGCATCAATTTCACTAACTACTCGGTGCTGCGCTCGCTTGGCGTGCGGATGTGCGAGTATGCTCTGCGATTCATCATCGGCATCGACTTCAATGCCACCAAGGATGAAATCTTGGCCAGCGGCGTCATGAAGTTCTTCCCGATGGCTTCCATCTTCTCAACCTTGCCGGCCACTTGCTCCCAGTCGGGCCGTGCCATCAACGCGTTCATCGCGTCGTCGTCCTTCGAGGTGTGTAGAATGCACGTCTTTGCCGATTCACCCATGCGCCCTCGTCGGGCAGTGGTGCTCGCCGCCGAGTCGACCAAGCAGCTCGCGTTGATCTCCGCCGTTGAGGTGCCACGTGTGTTCCCTCGGGTGCGACCCGCTATCCGTTGATCTAGCGATCGCAGGCTGGACTGGGGCAATGCTGCTGCGGATGTCAGCGCGTTTCTTCTCCTGCCACCCCACGAGCGTGCTCCTGATCCACCGATTGTCGCAGAGGCTACTGGAGACGTGCCTCGAGTTGACGCCTCGGTAAGCCATGTGCAGCCCCGCTGGTGGCAGTGCTCCTCCATCGGCGCCGGCGCGCTGCGTGGGTGCGCCCAGCCCGTCAGCGTCAACGGCGACGCGCTGCAGCACCTCTGCGAGTCGCCTGATGCCAACTGGCGCGCTTCTCGCTGGGCTGGCTGGATTCGGCATTTCTTCGTGTGCCGAGAGGAGTGCTGGGGTTGTGTGGGGCCAGTCCCCCCTGCTCAGCGAGGCAGGGATGTCTCCCGTGGCCTTCCCTGGCGTGCTGTGTGCGTCGTCGAGGATCGCGACGGCCCGCTGGCAGCTGGTTGGCTCCCCAGGTGAAAGCAGCGCCTGCATGTCGGCGGGGGCATCTACTGGGGCCCCCCATGGGCAGCAGACGTCGACCGCGTCTGTTTCAAGCAAGGGCACCTCGTCGCCTTCAGTTTGCTGGGCCCTCTGCGCGCGACTTCGAGGGCTGCGGCGGCTAAGCGGCAGCCGGGTGGCCCCCCCTGGTGGAAGTAGCGCTCGCTGTGGGGGTGGGGTGGTGGTGGTGGTGGGGGGGGGGGGCGTCGGTTGGAGTGCCCCACTGGCAGCAGACGTCCACCGTGTCTGATTCAAACAAGGGCGCGAGCGTAATTGCTGCCACCGCCAAGCAACAGGGCCTCGAGGTTCCTTGCGGAGACGACGGCGATGAAACTCACCCGCCCATCCAATGGGCCATATGTAATGGTGGTACCCCTGTTCATGATCGAGCGGCTCACGGCGTTGATGCGCGGGGGCCATCAGTGTAACATTTCGTTCCGGCTAGGCGGCAGTCGGCGACTTGCCGTCGGGGCAGTCGGCGAGGCTGCGGCGCTACCTGGGGCCGCGCCGCGTTTGTCCTCCGGAAGCCCTGATGAGAAGCAGAGCAACTTCACTGGGGCGTGGCGCTGCATCGTTCGCCAGGCTGAGGAGAAGTTCGCCGACGTCTTACAGGTTGGCGACCAGAAGCGCAGGTCTGCGGGGCGAGCTCGCCCCCCTCGCAAGCGCCGAGTCCGCCAACTTCCTCTGCTGGGCTCCAGGTGGCCCGAGGTTTCCGTGGGGGCCACCCGGCTGCGCCGCCTCGCCGGCAGTTTGTCTTCGCTCGCGGACATCAGCCATGTGCCTGAGCGTCTCGTTGCCATGTGCTGCCTGGCCAGGTTGACCACGTTCGCGCCCCCCCTCGTCCACCTGATGTCCGAGCCAGGCGAGGTGCAGAGCCTCGCGAACATTTGTGGCAATTCGTAAGCAGCGCGTGCCTGGGCAGCTGCGAACTAGCGCGCGGTCGCCCTGCTCGCTGAGCGCTGCCGTGCCGATGCCGTCGAGTTGGCGGATCGCGACATGGGCGAGAGGCGCGCTGGGTTCATGCGCTGCGTCGCGGAGCAGGCCGGGACTGGAGGGTGTGTCTTGCGCGTGATCTCAGAGGCGCCCATGGGCATGGGCGACAGCGCCAGCTGTGCCGACCTCCACAACGGCAGCCACGGGGGCGCGAAGGGCGATGGCGCCTTCGCAGAGGCCCCCCCCCCCCCCTGCCGACCCGTGCTGGGAGGCGACGCAGCCCGAGGTCGAGTGGTTCAAGTGGTGGCGCGCATGCAGCGAGCAGGTCGAGCTTCGGTGGTCGAGCGATCTTGGGCAACGGCCTCCGCGCCCCACCGCCCCTCATCTGCGCGCCGTCCTGCGCGCGTTCAAGGCCGCCGATGGCGCTTCGTTCTGCGCTTTTCGTCCTTGCCAGCTCGATGACTTGTGCGATGAAGAATTTGAAGTTGCGTGCGACATCGTCGAGGCAGTCGAGAGGGGCGCGTCATGGCCCAGCCTCCACAGCAACATCTGCTTCATTATGAAGCGCGCGGGCGGCGAGCGCCCCATCGCGGCCATCGTGGTCCTCGCCGGAGTTCAAGCTAGACTTCGGCGAGACATCGGCCGCGAATGGGGGCTGGAGAATGCCAGGCCCATCTGCTGGGCCACCGCTAGGCGCAGCTGCGAGCGTGCTGTGGCGTCGGGCTGCAGTCGGCGAGTGGACCACGCTGCGCGGCGACCAGTCTGGGGGCAAGGGCAAGAGCGCGTGGGTAACTGCCGACGTGCCCCTCGACCTGCTCCAGACCTTCGAGCACGTGCGCCGCCGCTGTCTGCTCGAAGCGGCTATCGCCGCGGACTTCCCGCTGCGGCAGCTTGAAGTTTCAGGTCGACTTGTTCTGCGCCCCCCAGGACCCTTCTGAAAGGGCGCGCCAGCTCCGACGTCATCTGCGCGCGGCAGTCCACCTTGGCCGGCGACGGCTTCGCCGCGTGCCTCCTCGAGCTGGCGCCGCCGATGCCCCTCGCCGAGTTGGTCTCGCGCCGCGGGCGTGTTCCTTTCGCGGTGGTGGTCGACGACCTCGCGTTGCGCCGCGTCGGAGGCGCGGTTCGAATGGCCCGCGAGGTCGCGGGGGCGGCCAGCTCAAGCGCCGCCTTCTTTCTCTCGGTCGACCTACCTGGGCGTCAATTTCTTCCGCGGCAAACGGGTCGCGCGGGAGGTTCAAGGCGACGACGCCGCGCAGGCTGGTCTACGCCTGCGACGAGTCCGCGCCCTC